TGAAGGTGTATTACTGCATAAGTAAGGGAAGTTGGCGATTGAAATGTTAAAGTCATCAGGTTTATCTTAGAGCTTGGTTGGTAGATTCCCATTAACGTCTTTTTCAAGTAAAATATCGAAATATGAAACAGGTGTATAAGACTAAGTGGTATCTTCTATATCTCAGGCTCACCAGTATATATTGATAAATATTTTCTAGCAAAAATATTGCTATAATATTTCAGTGATTCAAAATTTGAATCAAATTTTCTTTAAAACTTTTGATTCAAAAATTGAATATTGCTAGAATATTTCAGTGGACTTGACTCGGTTAATTTAAGTAAAATTCTAAAGGGTTTTTATAATTGATATTTGGTGGAACGCAAGACTGCCCCTTCTGTGACTAAGGATATTACTTATATAAACAGTGTCAATTCCTTTGTTGGCATATTGAAGTAAAAGGAATAGACGGATTGTTTTAGCTGCATTTTCTTCCACAAAACGTGCGGGTTAAAAATGTCTGTGATTTGCAATTCCCTTAATTACAGATCCGAGTCTATATTCTAGTGTCGAGGAGTCAAAAATTGGACTTTCCTTGGCCTTTTCAAGAAGACTATTTAAAAGTTTCAAAAGGAGAGAGTAAAGTTTGGTGCGAATATGATGTAGACCTTACTTTTTATGTAGAAACTAAGGTAGTAATGAATCAAAGGAGACATGATGTATTAAAGGTTTACTGAAAGACCAAGTTCATGACTACGCTTACGTCTCTGTGTATGGTAAAAAGTCACATTCACATTGTTACACTGTGGACTGGAAAAATTCTCAAAACTATCGACATTGTCATTGCAACTATAGGGTAAGACTGTCTCACATTTTATTCATTTGTTGAAGATGCTCATATACACCCATTTTCATAAAACCCGAAACACTGCATTCCAAAAGCATACTGAATAGAGGGAAATTTTCGCCCCCGTTTTATTTTCGCCCCTTTGCCCTCTCCTTGTTTTGGCGAAATTTAAAGTGGGCGAATTCAATTTACATCTCATAATTTCTAAATCAGAACTATGACTGGACGAATTTAAAACGGGGCAAAATTGTTTACAAGTTCAAAAGGCCGAAAATAACACGCGGCGAAAAAAAACCCTGTATACAGTATGTTTTTGATAAATGACCTTTCAAAGGATTTGTTTAAAGTTTCGATATTAAAATAAAGTAAGCGTTGAATTTCTTTATAAGGAAATATTCTTTAGTCTCTTTGTTAAGTAAATAGGTTTTATGATCGCAATAGCAGGATTATTTAATTACTACGCTATACACTCTTTACAAACACATTGGATATTATATATACAACATTTTCCGAATTCTACGAAAAAGACATCATTTTTGAAAATGAAAGTTTTGCATCAGGTAAAAATTAGAGTGGGGGACTTCTCAGTTAGTAGAATAGTATTATGATCATGTAATTTTTCTTATGTTTTGAAACATTTGATCTGCGTTTTGAAGTTTCACATAATTCCGGAAGTAATTATAACGAAATAGAATTTAAAAATTTGAAGAGACTTACCTCAGTTAAGTCGAAGCTAGATTGTAATTCTATGATTCATTATAATTACTAAAGGGATTATGTGACTCCAACCTCTCACTACACAATTATTCAGATATTCATAGATATCTTATAAATAATGCATAAAGTAAGATTAGTAGGGTAATTATATTCAATACGATTACATTATGACCAAATATTTTTGATTTTGTGTACTACTATCTCACATTATCCGTACAGTAATTATAATGACTCATAGAATTACAATCTGACTTCGACTTATCAAGAACTTTGACCTCTTGACTTAAGTTCAGTCTCGTCAAATTTTTCAAATTATAAATGCTGGAAACAAAACATATCTACATGTATGTAAAAGCGTTCTAATCTCTGGACTGTCGTGTCCAATCTAACTTGTACGGACACCTACTATAGTTAGTGTGATTTAAATTCAAGACACGTGGTTTAGCTTTATCTATTCAAAGGTTATAGGGTAGAACCAGTTTAATAAATAAAATTGGCAATAAACAGGAAATTGCTATAGTCTGTTTCTTTTGAAAACATGTCCTGTTAAAAAATGTCCTAGTATTTCCAGACATTTCTGAAAGACTTTCATGATTTTCGACAGAAAAGGTTGGCATAAGGAGGTATTAAAATAACAATATAATTATCTATTCATATAATTTCATAATTTACGGCAAAAATTAGAGCTCACTAGCGACCGATACGCTGGTACAAAATCAATGAGTAATATCTTCAACATTGACAAACCTTTGTTTGCCTTATATGGCTTTTGTTATTAATGCACACAGAGGATCTAACCAGGAGCAACTGACCAATTGTTGATTGAATACGTTTATGCCAATACATATTTACATTTTACTTCGAACGCGTGGTTCAGGTCAATCTATGATAATGTCAATGAAGTGCAAAACAAAAAAAATGTTCTTATGAGCAAAATGCAAATATTATAAACGGACATTTAAAATGGACAAAACATTTTTTTTTACATATCTATACTCATGATCACGTGTTTTGGCCAGGGAATGCGCCTGACAACTGTATTCAATGATAGTACAATAAAGGAATTTATCAAGCGTAAAATTCCTGTAGTATTCGACTAACCATTAATGCAATTCTCACTCAGCTAATTTGTCAGTTAAAGTCACATTGGTGCTTCTTTTGCTAATTTGACGCCAAAAATATAGTCCCGTTTCCAATGCAAACATATCTATCAAAAAAGAAATTTTAATTCAAGACAGCAGAAAATGGTATCATAGAGAACTCATAATTTGAGTTTGAATGAATTCAATTAAGAGAGATTGAATGAAGTACATTTCTACAGAATGATATTATAGGGTGTTGAAAGCTAAAATGCAATATAACTTTTCTGTTTACCATCTATGCACGTGCTAGTCACATCCTAGATCCTAGCCACATTTCCGTGAATAATTTACCCTATCTCACTGTAGTCTCCCTAACTCTCGCCAGAGCCACTGCCAGAGCTACTCTGAACTCATCGGGTTTTGTAATTTGCAGAACACCGAAAATGACTGACGTTTTTTCATACTTATTGTTATTCCATTATTTATACACTGAATTGACGCCAAATTTTTCCGTTATTTCCCGATAATAACAACTAGTTATTTTATGCAGCTCTTGGAATATCCTCTTTCATGGAATATAGAAAACTATTTACAAGTTGAATGTCATCTGTATACATGTAGTCTCAACGTTTACCTTTATTTTTCTTGAGACTTTCACTTAAATCTTAATCAAAATCTCTGAATACTATTCTGTTCTTTTTTTTATCTCATTTAACTTTCCTCATGAAAAATCTGTGAAATAAATGCAAAGATTCTTTTGAAAACTGATATATTGTGAAAAGGGACATTGTGAAATTTGACGATTTTTGGCAATCTTAAATTATATCAATAGCAGGGGTACTTGAGTATACTAGTAAGGAATAAAAATGTGCTCCATTACTAGCCAATCTATTTCTGTATTCATTTTAATAAGCAGAAGATATCGCAACCTGCGCCTATGACCTTCATTCAAATATATCGTCGAAAATGATTACTTTTAAATTACCCCTTTTTTCTGAATATCTGACTCATATATGAAGCTGAGACACTTAAACATATCAGATATTACCAAAAAAAAAAATGAATTGATGATAAGTAGCCCTGTTTAAAGTCGATATTTCCCAATCCTGCGACAAGTCAACAAATACAATCTATCATTAGGTCGAATGTTTTCTGGCGTTTTTCAGATATCCCAAATATTTACGCACTGTATTGCCTGTTTTTTTTTTCCTTTTGCTCTATCAAGAACAAGAACAAGTGCAGTAGGTCGGTAGGGGATATTTTTATATATTCCATGGCACCTGAACCCAGAGATCAGTGTTTTCTCTGTACTATGTTTATATTGTTTCAATAGACTTCTGAGCTTTAAAATATTGTATGCAAAAAGTCAATTAAGAAATGATTTTAAATTTTTGAAGATTCATGAGGTTATGAACTGCGACGCTGCATGCCGGCATATTTCATGAAGCGCGTTAGCGCTTCATGATAAATATGCCGGCGTGAAGCATTGTAGTTCATATACCTCATGAATCTTCAAAAAATTAAATTCATTTCTTATATTTACATTATTTTTTGATGACTTGCCATAGATTTACGCCGTTCAACTGTCATTTAAACAAAACAGTGTGCACTATATTTTTTGACTTTTTGACGTCAAGAGCGGTATTATGACGTAACAATGGAGATATTCATGCTTATATTCGTGATGCATACCTAATGTAGTTCATGAGAAAATATACTGCATCTTATTTTGTAAAGAATCATAGAGGAAATTTATTGGAATGTAAATATTCGATATTCGATCTACTATAAAAGTCACTAGCAAACAAGGTCATTGAGCCCACTATCAAAATTTATCATTGACTCTTTGCTAAAAACCTGTCTTTTGTTCGTTAAAAATGTTCAAAAATGGAATACCGAATAGCGGTTATTTTAGCGGGGTCCTAATTTTAGCTAATTTTTGGCGTTTTGGTGGTAGTCCGCTTAAATTTGAATCGCTAAAATAGTCAGTACTCTTCTTATTTTTCATCTGCAAAGAGCTGAAATCCTATGTCCGCTAAAATAAATTACGTCAAAATTATTGGCATATCTTTGAGCAGGCAAAACACCAAATTCTACACCCGCCAAGAAAACCCGCTTTACGGTAATTTGATAATCAAATATTATGTTGGTTGTAAGTGATTAGATCTATAAATGTCCAAAATATTAAGAAATTTCAAATCTAGGATATTCAAAATTCAGTATGTCTACAACTTTTTTTTAAAAGTCTTTATAACTTTTTGTCTTTTTTAAATCCAATTATTGTGGAAATTTGTTGACATCTTTCCTTAAATTCGTAATGATTATCTACTGAAACAGAAAATAACAAAATACATGTCTTTTAACAATCCATTTATTTCAGAGAACTTATATTACATGAGTTTAAATCCAGAGAAACTTATTCGGGCATAATTGTTGCTCTCTAGATATTTTCCTCCATGCCAGGACCCGACTCTTGTATACACTACATCTCCTTTCTTCAAATTCAGTATGGTTAATGTAGAAGAGGAATCCCTGTCTTCGTGGTTACCCGAGTCAGCAAATGCGATATCTTTTACAACTCCATTCTTAACTAGTTCTATTACGCTGGAAGATTTATCGTATGAAACGGTTGTTGTGTGTATTACGTAGACCCCACTTTCTGGAACGACGAACTTTCCCGACTTGGCGTCATATCCGTTTCCAAGGTTTGTCTCAACACGATCATAAACAAATATTTTGTGCTTGGAAAGTGTATTTATCTGGATGCTACTCGACATATAAGCATAAAATGCAATTTGTTGACCTAAATTGAAAAAGAGAAAGAAATATATATAACAATCTATCTCGATTTTTTGTTCATTCTAGTAATAACAGTTGAAAAGTATAGCATCTATATTATTGCCGATATCTCGAATGCCGTTGATTAATTGAAGTGCCGACCCTTTATTTTACAAAATTTCAAAATTTAATTTTCCATGTTACGAGTATTTAACTGAGGTCTTTCTAATGATATCAAAAATTTGAACACCAGTTGTTCAGATACAAGACAAATTTAGAGATCCAACCTTTGTTATGTAATCAAGACTACTGTAATGTTTTTGTTTACACAGGGTAATATACTAATATATGTTTGTTCAAAGTAGATAGTTTCAAATAAAAATTAATTTTAAATACAATTTGACAGTTACTGTCGATTTTCTGAACCTCATTTTGTTATAAATATGATATTTTCTATATGTAAACAAAAACAAGGCACGAGCCTTGTTTACATTATATAGAATTTAAAGTTCTGCATGTATCTTGTTTGTCAATCAACAAATGATCTTCAAATTTTTGCTAATCAATAGATGATGCCTTAGTAAGGAATTATAAACATTAAAATTGGTTTTTAAAAATCAATTGAAACTGTGTCCAAGTCCCTTTAAGTATTTTACACAAATCGAATGACTTTTTTTATGGACAATTAGAGTAACCAAGATTCGACAACACAAAATAGACATAGAAGCAGAGCAAACATGGACTTCTGAAACATCAGAGGTGGGATCAGGTGACATAGAAGAGTGAGCATCCCTTCCGACCGGTCACACACCGTGTGATCCTTATCATGATCGAAAATTTTTTTTAGGAAAATCCGTCGTCAGTACAGTGTGTAAATAATAGACTAACAATTAGTATGAAAAACGTCAGTCAGCATTTGACTCTATGGTAATTTATATTTGCTCATCAGGTCATTGTGTCGACCATAGCACTTACAAAATGATTACTTTAAGCGAGAATGCTGAAATTCTTGATTCATCAAATTGTTCTTCAATAATTTACATCGTTTTAGAAACTCTCTCTCTCCCTCTCTTTCGTATCAAATCTTCTGAGAGATACAAAACTCCGTATGCAGGCGATGAATGTATATTACTGCATAAGTAAGGGAATTTGACGATTGAAAAGTTAAAATGATAAGACGTCCCCAATGAATATTTTAAAAATGATTCTCATAAGACCTTAATTGTAAAATACCGATTCCAGTTGATTGACTTCCTTTCCTTTGTCCACACAGACTACAGATTGTGTCTTCCATCTCCTTTCGGTCACATGAGTCATTGCTATTAGCAACGCCGACGAAAAGAAAGAAAAGCAACAACGTTGACAGTTTAAGCATGTTGTATGGGTAGCTGAACTTAAAACAGAGTACACAAATCTCAAGTTTTGTCCTCCTCTTATATCAGATTTTAAAATCATAATGTCGTGATCAGATAAAGGATGAGGGATCTTATTTCAAATAAATCTTTACCATGCTACAACTTACGATATCTGTTTCAGTTTAATTTTTCCCCTAAAAAATCACACGCTTTTTCTATTTCAGTCTCAACATACAGTATACTCTAAAACCACGAAAACTGACCGCGGCTTTTTTTTTAATTTTGGCAAGAAAATTGAATTTTCTTTCTTTCAAAACAGTCTTTGGTTAAATTGCGGCTGATTAAAGAAAAAAAAAGAATTGCGACGAGAGCATAATTACGACATTATTGCTAAAACAATAAATTGTAATCGATCGAATGTGAAATAGTGGTTTGTTCTGAAAATTGTAACCCTCAGTAAACATCAAAGAAATCTGGACTTGAGTATACACAGGCCACATTGCAATGCTGTATTTTGTGGGACGGCATAAAATGCGTAAAGCCTTTTCTTATATTCCAGAGAATTGGTCAGATGATTCTTTCAGTGAAAAAGTGAGTCGCCCGCTTGGCGCAGTGGTCAAAGCGTCTTCTCTAGAGTCGCAAGGTAAGGAGTTGATCCTTAGGTCGCGGGTTCGAATCCTGCTGTGGGGCGCGGAGACCGGTCCTTCGGATGGCACCGTATAAACCGAGGTCCTGTGTCGCAGTAGGTGCTAGTATGAAAAAGATCCCTACCTGCTCAATTGCCCTGAGTACCGAGTATAGGACAAAATTTGCAGCTCTCTACCGGCAAGTGGTGGCATCTCCATAGGAGTGAAAAAAGTGGGAGTGGGACGTTAAACATCATACAATCAATCAATCAGTGAAAAAGTGAAGTAAGAAAGTCGCCTTGTGGTTCAATCTCAACAAAATACATGATGTGACGAGGAAGTTATGTTGTTCTGGATTAACAATATATATATATGGTAATTTTTAAGGTATGTAATTACTCTTCTTCTGATTTTATTTTTTGAATGGACCTCTGAACTTAACTACTGTGTTCGTTATATATTATAAGTATATAAAAAATTTGTGACAGGTCTGCATTAACAAAATGTATGAGCTACCCCCCTACAGTGCCAATAATTCTTTATCACATCACAATGCAGAATATATATTTCTGACAATTAAAATTAGAGATTTTTTTTTTATTAAACTCGTCTGTTTCATATTTGGATATTTTACATTAAAAAGACGTTAATGGTAATCTAACAAACAATTTCTATGATTAGCATGATGACTTTAACTTTTCAATCGTCAATATCCCTTACTTATTGCTGCATAAGTAAGGGAAGTTGAGGATAGAAAAATTAAAGTCATCATGTTTATCAGAATTGTTTATTACCATTAACGTCTTTTTCAAGAAATGACCATCATAATTTTTATTTTTTCATCTCAGGAAAAGACCATCTTAATTTTTGCCCAAAGGTTTTATTTATTGTAGCTATAAATATAAAGGTGGAATATTCAGTAATTTTGCAAGTGTCTCTGTCTCTGAAAATGAGTCATTTATATTTTCTCTTTACAGGAAGTACTGTACCCCGGTAAAATAGAGGAATAACAACACTCATAGAATTACGACAGAGGGTCATTTTTCAATGTTGATAAGGGTCCTTTTACTTGTAAACCTTTGTGAAGAAAAATGACTGTGTAGAATAACAGCTCCGTGTAGTTCTTAAAAGGATATATTTTTCTTTTAATTGAAAATAGTGAGAATTATACTAACAAATCCTCTTTTAAACCCTGTATCATTCGGTTGGGATGGGGTCATTTTTCAAATGGGTTAATCTTAAAGTTACACATGTAGAAAGCTAATTTACAGTAGCTCCTGCTTTGACCCAAAAAAGGCACGTATAATTACATATATCTAAAAAAAAATTCAAATTGTTCTACAATACCTCTTACTACAAATACAAATATTTTATTGGCACAAACACAATTACAGTTATTGGTGAAGGCCCACACAGAACATAGTAATAAGCATGATAATTAAATAGAACACAATTAGAATACAAACATTTGGTGTAACAAATTATGTAGTGTACTCATCAGATACTTAAAACATGTATAATTCAAAACAATGTAGTTACTCATTTATAGCTAAAGAAAATTTCTTATATCAGATATTTGAAATAAAAATGATGTTAATATTTAGAAATAAATATGGATAATGCTGTAATCGGACGATTTATTAATCGGATACATAAAATTTTCTCCATTCGCAGCTTTGGAGGAGGTTTTGGAGTCGCACTTCTGTTTCGCTTTATCTGATTGGATAATTGTGATACAGTTTAAATATCTAACGAATCAGATAAGGCGAAACAGAAAAGCGACTCCAAAACCTCCTTTAAAGCTGCCAATGGAGAACATTTTATGTATCCGATTTATAAATCGTCCGATTACAGCATATCAAACGCTTGTTTGATTGGTAACACTGTAATTATACCTTGGAAATCTGTCTCGAAGCGGGGAACCCCCCGTTTGTTTATAACTTTTGTTTCTTACATTGTGTATTTTTATTATACCGAATAGGGTCATTCTTTAAACGTGAGAAAAAGTACAATCTGCTTGCATATAACGACATATAGATGTGTTTGACGGGGAAATTATATATTTTTGAAATATTATACACTCATATTTTTTTTATTAAAAAAGGGGGACATTATCCATACTTAAGGTGCCTGTGGTCAAAATGTTCTAACCTTCATTGACAGTCTTAAGAATTAACTAATGCCCGTATTACTAGAGTCTTCAAAAAAGTTAAAATATATTTATAGACAACAGGCAGAGATGTGTTGAAAAGGTCAGGTTTTCTGATTTTTATAGTTATTGAAATAAATTAGTGACAATCAACAAGAACAGGTTTGTCAGGGTCGAATAAAAAATGTGCGTATTTTTTCGCATTTCTTTATTTTACTAGAAAAAGACATTGGTGACAATCTTACAACCATGTATCAAACATAATGATAAATATGATTATTTCAAGATTTTTTTGTTCAACATTTCATTTCTTTGTATTACAATCAGCTGTATATTGGGTTTAAGGTTCCAAAATTCGATACAAAAGAACATATTCTTTAAAAATATTTTTCAAAGTTGGTTTACTACAAAACACAGCAAATGTAATTTTATATTGCATAATATTCATTGTTACTTGCAAGCACAAACAATTTAGTAATTTAGCAAAAGAATATACGAGACAATGAATTCTAAGTAGGATTTATTGGCGTTTGCCTTATAGACTTTGTAGTTAAATAATTTATTGTAGTTAAATGTTTGAGAATAATTTGGTGAAGTTAATATGAAGAAATAGTGCAGAGAGTCTGCTCACTCCTCCATGGCACCTGATCCCAACTCTGATGTTTCGGAGGTCCGTGATTGCTCTGCTCTTATTTTGTATATTGTTAAATGGACATTGAGATCGAATACTCATCGTTATCTCCATATCCTTCCTACAATAGATTAATTTTATGGGATTTTCTGAATAAATACTGTACAAATATATACAAAAAAACCATGATGAAGGATATGCAGATAACGAACATTATTCAATATCAAAGTCCATAAAACAATACAAAATAGGAGCAGATCAAACACGGACACATCAGAGATGGGATCAGGTGCCATGGAGGAGTGAGTATCCCCTGCTGAGCGGTCACACCTGCCGTGTGCTCTTTGTCATGATCAAGTAATAAGGGAAAAATCCGTCGTCAATTCAGTATATAAATAAAGGACTAACAATAAGTATGAAAAACGTTCGTCAGCATTTGACTCAATGATAAATTGTATTTGCTGACAAGGTCATTGTATCGACCATAGAACTTACGAAATAATGACTTTAAACGAGTCTGCTGATATTCTTGTTTATCAACTTGCTTGTCAATAATATACCTCGTTTTAGAAATTGATCATACGAAGAGCATGCTCTTGCGTATCGAATCAACTGAGATATATATACTCCGTATGCAGGTGATGAAGGTATATTGCTGCATAAGTAAGGGAAGTTAACGATAGAAAAGTTAAAGTCATCACGTTTATCATATAGCTTGGCTGTTAGATTACCACTAACATCTTTTTCAAGTAAGATATCCAAGTATGAAACAGATGTGTCAGACTCTGTGCCTATGAAGGCAATAATTTACAAATACGTAATGTTATGCAATTGTCGATGCCTTAAAACTCAAAATAATCCTTCGTTCTAAAAACACGCTTTTGTGCTCACAAATAAGTTCTTTCTGTAGATAAATGAGATTTATCATTAAAAATAGACTAATTTGTATTATTTCATGTATTTGGATGTGTTTGTACGGAATAGATATTCCCACTGATTGGCTAATCATTGATTGTATTGTTGGTTTTTATGATGAAAGTTTCCTATAATTCCTAAAAATATAAGAAATTTACTCCATATCGTCTGTAGTACATGTAAGAAGTCGATTCGCTATGGCCTTCAGTTCAACATATAGGTATATCGACAACGTAATTAATTTATTTTCACCACTAGTCTGATTCGAAATATCCAGTTGAACTTTTAATAAAGGATACCATAGAGTTTGATACACACGAATATCTCTTGGATTTCAACAAAAGAAAGTCATTGACGGCAAACTAATTGATAGAGTTTATGATAAACATTATGGCTTTAATTTTTCTATCACTTCCCTTACTTATATATCAATCCCAGTTGATTCGATACAAAAATGTACTTAATAGAAAAATGTACTTAAAGGTACTTGGACACAGATCTGAAGTTATTATTTTCTCTATAATATTACGACTTATATATTTTAATAGCATTCCACACAAAAATTAATTAAAAATCTTATTTCGTTTAAAAGATATTGAAATTTCAAATTTTTCGGCGGGTTTAATTGACATATCATTGCACTCTCACAAATTTAATTTTATTCTTAATCCATAGGAAAAGTGGCAATCTCGATTTGTATAAATGAAAAATTTTAAT